TTAAATGTTCTCCGTAGCCCATTAGGCCAGCTTATTATATATATGACAGTTTACGCAATTTCGCATAACGCCTAACGATGTGTGTATCATAAACTCACACGGGCGCACACACATATACACACACACACACACATTACAGCATATATATATATATATATATATATATATATATATGTGTGTGTGTGTGTGTGTATGTATGTAATTCTCACTGACTGACGCCAATCCAGCCGAGTTTCGATCCTAGCTACAGGCAATCGGACATCTAGTAACACTGATGAGCTGTGATAAAGCCAGTCTGTTTGTATGTCTATATTTCTGAGATGATGTACTTGTACACTATTTACATTTCTCGGATTATCATCCTCATCTTTGTTGCCATATTTCTCACAACATTTCAGCCGTTGTACGCTTTGGCCTTCTTCAGGTTGTTGGAGAAGGTAATTAACATGAGATAACTGATAACTGTCATCCATTAGACATGGCAGGTGGAACTAGAAATGTCTACCCCAGTGAGCGAAATAAATGAGCAATGTAAATAGTCTGTCTGTAGATGACAATATATATGCAAAATTTATTTCGTTTGAGCTCTCTGGGGACGACCTCTGAGTTTGTAAGCAGTGACTATTACTGCTAATAATGCAAGACTCTTCGGTAAATGGAATTCAGTTCTCTCAGTCATTGTGTGTTTATCTAGAAATAAATACGTTTAAACGGCTTATGGGTAGAATCTCCGACTAACGCTGATTCAGTCGGGTTTTGATCCAAGCAAGAGGTAACCAGACATCTAGCCACACTGATTAGCTGTGCTACAGCGAAACAGTCTGTCTGTGGATGACAATTCATATATATATATATATATATATATATATATATATATATATATATATATGTGTGTGTGTGTGTGTGTGTGTGTGTTCGTGTGTGTGTGTGTGTTGCGCGTGTGTGTGTGTGGTTGTTGCAGGTATTTAAGGAGGCGTCCTTGTTTTTTAAACAAAAATTGATATTTGCTGCCCTAGAATTCAAATGTCTTAAATGAAGATTATTTGTCATAAGTACACATTAGCTTTAATTTACATTTCAGTTGTGAAAGCTCTGCTACAATCGCATCCTAACATTTCAAATAACGAAATATGACATAGCCAAAACAGCAAAAAACAAAACAAAAAAAAAAACAAAACATTTCGATGGCTTTACAATTGTCTTAGGTCTAATGTGGCTTCCACAGCACAGCATCTGCACTCTCAATCAAAACTAAATCGGCAAGACTGAAAATGACGTAATATATCTGGTAGAGATATGATTTCAGGTTTTATATTTAAAAGATATGTTGGCGATATATCTATGAAAAAACCTAAGGGCTACCTCATACCTAGATTTTAAATTTTCGAATATTTCTGCATCGTATAAGGCATTTGGGGAACCAGTTTTGCCACCAAACTTACCGCTATACTGGAGTTAGTAACAGGTGAATTGATGCACTGATACGACAGACACACACACACACATATATATATATATGTGTATATATATATATATAAATGCATGTGTGTGCGTATATATATATATATATATATATATATATATATATATGATAAAGAAGTAGTCATACAAAGTATAAATCAGTAAGCTTAAGTTAATTAATGGCGAATTTACTTCGCTAGCAGATTAAATGATGCATTAACTTATATCATCATTAAATGAATTACAAGTCGAAATATGTTTCGTTGTAAATGTGTTGTTATTAAAATATTTTTAAAAGTGTGTTATTATTAACATTTATTTTTGTATCGAAGTTACCTGAAATTACCTGGAATTGAAAAATAATATCCATGCCGGAAGATGATGAAAGTATTCATCGAAGTACATGTAAATATACTGAACATAAAATCCATTTTGCAAATGTTAAAAACAAAGATGGCGTCATTCAACGTGTGGTTAGTAAGTTAATGCTTTATTAAATCTGTTAGCGAAGTGAATTCGCCATTAATTACATTAAGTTTACTGATTTATTCTTTGTATGACTACTTATAATATTAATTATTCTGCCACGTATATATATATATATATGATGAACTTATAAAGAGATGGAAAGTACTTGAGAAATGTAAGTGATTCTCACTGTCACATTCTTGCCTCGTTTTTAAATGTAAATACGAAAAAAATAGTTGATAATATGAAAGGGTTATGATCAATATCTATATCTATATATCTCTCTCTCCCTATACATACATACATATATATATATATATATATATATATATATATATATGAACATTGAAGTCAACACACAGAGAATAAATATTTTGTGTCTATTGAGTTTGTACGAAATTTTCAAAATATTTAATATCTGTGTCTTTTAAAGGATATAGCCAGTTCGTGTCTATTGTGTTTCTCAATCTTTCTCTCAATTAGGACAAATTCAACAGGTAAAACTATAATAACGGCTTTGCTGTTTCTGCGAAAGATCATTCGGAATTTGGAGAGGAAGAGGAACAAACATTATTTAAAGTGTTCGAACTGTTGTCCTTATCTTTATCGCCATACTCCCGACTTTTCCCCCGTTGTACGATCTGGCCGTCTTCAGGTGACTGGAATTTCGA